TTTTAAAGATCACATACATACTTGAAATCATTGGTGCAAACAGTACTGAAGAATGTGATATAAATATCTTTGTACTTAATGATCAGCTTCATTTAAAATTATTAGATTTTTTTCTCATCTTTTCTAATAACTAAATCTATTTTCTTCCCCCTTGGGTGTCAGAATTATCTTTATGAAATTATGATACAAATGGAAGGAAATTTTTTGTCAGTTCTGGGGCTTGAATTCAGGACCTGGGTGCTGTCCCTGAGCTTCTTTTCTCAAGGCTAGTACTCTACCACTTGAACCACAGTTCCACTTCTGTCTCTTTTGGTAATTTATTGGAGCCTCATGGATTTTTCTGCCTGGATGGCTTTGAACCCTGATTCTCAGATCTCAGCATCTTGAGTAGCTAGAATTATAGGCTTTGAGCCACCAGTACCCTAGGAAAGCATTTTAATGAAGCAATGAACTAAATTTTGAGTTTCATGAAATGGAACATTTATAGATAGAATGGTAACTAATTCTTTATTCTCTCCTTACTGCAGGAAAGAATAAAAGGAAATGGTTTAAATTGCAACAAAATAGCCTTGAGAGTAAGGAAATTTCTGGACATTGAGATTTGGTAAATGTTAATATGAGTTTTGAGGGAAATTATGACATATTCACTTTGGAGAGTTTTTTAGAAAACATTACCTATCTAGCTGGACTCAGAAGGTTATACCTAAAAACAAGAAAGTAGATGACTTAGAAGGCTAAATTTATTTATTTATTTATTCATTCATTCATTCAGTAAATAAGTAAGTACCTGACACTGTGCTCATGTGGATAGGGGAGAGATGGGTGAAAATGTTGAAAGGGGTGACATTGATCAAGATATACTGTATTCATAAATTGCTTTGTTAAATGGCAACTTCTTTGTACAACTATTTAAAGATAGTAAAAATACTTTAAGATAGCATTTTTCAAACTTATTTGCTCATTGAATGTGTGAAAAGATCAAGAGAAACTTCTAATATATAATATTTACTTGGATAATAAAACATAAAAGACCTCATATATTTACTGCTGTAAGAAAATAAAATTATATATAAGAATATGTATCATGTTCAGAGAAATAGCACCCAAGGCTGACAAATAAGACTGTGATCAAAAAGAATACAGACAAGTACAGTGGCTCACCCCTGTAAAACATAGCTATTTGGGTGGCTGAGATTAATAGGTTTGTAGTTTGAGGCTGGCCTAGGTGAAAACTTGCATGACATCATCTCAACGAATTAAAACAAAAAACATTTGGTCTGTTGTCATTGCTGCTATTCAGGAAATTTACACAGGAGAACAGAAATCCAGTCTGGCCCAGGCATAAATGCACGAGCTTATTTGAAAAATAACAAAAGCAAAAAATATTTGCAACATAGAGCACCTGTGTAGCAAGAACAAGCCCTTGGTTAAAACCCTTTATGGCTAAAATAAAAATAATAAATAAACTTAAAAGCCATATGTATATGGTCAAAGAACTATTAATTTTTCCCTCCAAGATGCTACATAAAAATACCATTACAAGTACTTTTTATCTTTTTCCTTTTTTTCCTGCAGCACTGGAGTTTAAAGTTAAGGCCTTATACTTCATAGCTGAGTTCTTTACCATTTAAACCAACCCCCACCCTTTTTAGAATTTTTTTTAAAGACAGAATTTCAGGCTTTTGGCCCAGGGACAACTTCAGAGTGATCTTCTTACCCGTGTCTCTTGCATAGCTGGACTTAACGTGTTTTACCATCCTGGCCATCCCTGGCTGGCTGTTTGCTGTTTTTCATTTTGTCTTTTGTTTTGTTTTTTGATGGAGTCTCACTAATATTTTGTCTGGTGCTAGGTTGGAACCATGACCCTTTTGTTCTCTTGAGTTGTTGGAATCACAGAGGTAAGCTATTGTACCCATGCTCATGAAATTTTTGAAAATGATAAATTTACAAAACAAAAAAAAAGAAAATCAAGAGCACCAACTGACAGTGCTATCAACAGATTTCTAAAAGATGTGTAACAGATGGAAATAGGATTTAGAAAAGAGGCAGATACTACCAAAGACAGGAATGTTGACTCACTCCACTAAAATCCCTTGACAAGCTCAAAATATGAATGAACACAAAAGCTTCACTTGTGGAAATTCTGACATTTGGTTACCCAACAATAATGCTTGCCAAATAATTCCATCTCATTATACAATATAAAACATAATAAAAATAATAGTATGTGCCATCATACACTTGAAAAACTCATAACAATATTCAAACAAACAAAATGGGTAAGATTTCAACCAGGTGAGAGAAATTTTTGAAAAATTCTGGTATTTTGTTATTCTTCTAAGTAAAAGGAGCATATTCTGTATGGCTGAAGAACAGTATGTTTTTTTCTTTAGTAACAATCAAAGAACAAACAAATAGCTCTATAAAATTAAAGACTTGTTCATAAAAATTTTATATTCAAACACTGGGAATATGGCTTGGTGGTAGAGTGCTTCCATTAAGACCTGGGTCTGATTACTCAGTACCATATAAACAGAAAAAGCTGGAAGTCATATTGTAGCACAAGTGGTAGAGTGATAACATTGAGCAAAAGAAGCTCAGGGCTTCTGAGTTCAAGCCCAGGACTGGTTAAGAAAAAAAAAAGTTTTTTATATCCAATTAAGGTATTGGACTGACAAGATCCAGAAAAATAGCTCAAATAAAAGGCTGAAATGAAACATAGTACAGATAATATTAACAAAAACAAGAAAAGAATGACCTGGGAGGTAGCTGGGTACCAGCGGCTAATGTATGTAATCCTAGCTGAGGAAACTTAAATCTGAGGATCCAGAAGGGAAGTCCTCAAGGCTATAACATCCAGTTAAAACTCACTCCCACCCTCACTCCCTCCAAAAAAGTCAGAAATGGAGCTATGGCTCAAGTGGCAGAGGGTTTGTTTGGAGGGAGAAAGTTCAGCAATAACACCTATGCCCTGAGTTCAAGTCAAAGGACTGGAACAAATAAAGTAATTGCATAAAAGAGAAAGAGAGCTGGGTGTTGGTGGCTCATATCTGTTATCCTAGCTACTAAGGAGGCTGAGATCTGAAGAAAAAGTCAGCCTGGGCAAGAAAGTCTGTGAGACTTTTATCTCAAATTAACCAGAAAACCGGAAGTGGCACAGGCACCATGGATGAAAATGGTGGGAGTCACAACAAGTATAACTGTTCTGAAACTTTGAAAACAGTAATTAAGAAATTTAGGTCTCTGAAATCTGAGATGAGTACACGAATTTAAAGGTGAAAAGAAGGAAAACAGGAAATACATAAATAGTTAAATTAAATGATGACCTTACAGAGAGGGATGGATCTCACTTAAGACTGAGCTGTAGACATGAGTCCTAGAGGTCTGACAATGGTTAGATGTTAAGTTGGGCTGTAATATTTCTAGGGTGTTAGATTATTTAGACTTTGCCAGGGTGCAAGACCCCTTCTCACAGGACAGAAGTGAGAAGTTTGGGCTATTGTCTGAGGTGACCTATATAACCTAGGAGGCTTAGGAGGAGCTAGAAGGACCTAGGAGGTGGAGACCCTGGTGTGGACCTGAGGGCTAGGGGCTTCATCATGGCAGACTAAGTTTATGGCTGCTGCCCAAATAGTAGCTAAGTGGTCCCTGCAACTGCCCAGACCCTAAGGTCACTCTTAGGGGCTCTTGTTGCCTTATATGGTGGTAGCTACCCCAGAGAAGTGCCATCCCAAGGTAAAAGGGGTTGGAGACTGATTACAGCCTTTACTAAACGGGCCTAGTGTTTAGGAAGGAAGGATGTTAACTTGTGGAGAGGGGAAGGAGTGTATTAAGCTAGGGGAAGGGAGCTCATTTCGCTAACAGGATGTGTCACTTCCTTAAAAATTCAAAGGGAACCAATGCAGAGTAGCAGTCCTGAAAGTCAACAGATTCCCTTTGGGGAACTCTGAGGCAAAAAGGAGGTGTGGCAAAGAAGCACCAAGATACTGCTTTGAGTCGAATCCATAGACAAATAGTTTTTACGAACCATTCCACGCTAGCGTTACGCTAGCGTGTCCTCAACGTTCGGGATGAGGGCTGTTTCAAGAAAATATTAAAAAGAAGAAGAAAAGGAGGGTAGAGATGCGGTGGAGTAGCATCCGTCCCAGGACTGCAGGGTGTGTGGCAGGGCATGGCACCTTCAGGATGGGTTTCAACTTGACCCGGTGTTAGTGGCAGGGCCGCTGCGGCGCTTCCCGTCGGGCCTTCCTCCGAGAGCCCAGCACGACAGTGGGTGAGCCACCGACAGTGGCACAGTGGCGGCTGGCTCATTTGGCCGTACTCATCTCGTTTTCTCTGCAGGCATAACAGCAAATACGCTCATTTGCTCCCAATATTCCTTTCTGCATCTCCACGCTGGCCCGCCAGCGGCTTGCAGAGCAAATCTACGACCTGTGCACTAGCATCACATGACAACACACCCAGCCCCGCAGACGACCCCGCAAAACCGCCCCAACAGCGCCCCGCGAAGGGCGGAAGAGGGCCGCGCAGGCGCGGTGGCGCGCGGTTACCGGATTCGCTCACTTCCTCCTTATCCCCGCCTTCGTTTCAGTTCCGCTCCTCTTCACATCTGCTTCCAGGTCACTTGTAAGCTGGCCTTCTAGGCTTTCAGCCTCCTCTGCCGAAGGAGGGAAGTCGAGGGGGTGGGGAGAGTTCCTTGTTTGTTTACACGATGTGAGCGGAAAAAGAGACCAATAAAGTTTATTCTGGAAACAAAAGGAAAAAAAAAAACAACAGGGCGCCGGAGAGAGGAGGCTGGGGCGGGTGTGTGGCGGGGCCGGCGAGTCCGGGGAGCCCGGAGGAAGCGGCAGTTCCGGTGCCGCCGCCGAGGTCTCGGGCTGCTGCAGCTGCGGCCGCTGGGGCTGGGGCCGCCGGCGAGGCAGGGCTCGGGCCCGGCCGGGCAGCTCCGGAGCGGCGGGGGAGAGGGGCCGGGAGGCGGGGGCCGAGCCGCCCGCTCTCCTCTCCCTCGGCGCCGCCGCCGCCGCCGCCGCCGCCGCCGCCCGCGGGGCTGGGACCCGATGCGGCTGGAGCCTCGGAGCCTGGAGGAGCCCCGACTGTGAGTAGAGCGCGCACGGGCGCTGAGGCCGGGGCCGGGTGGGCTGCAGGGGCTCGGGTGCGCCCGCCTTCCCTAGGTGAGCGCTCCCGGCCGAGGGTCTGCCCGCAGGGCCTAGGGCGGAGCTCGCCTCGAGATCGAGCTCGCCGCTCCCTCTCCGCGGTCCGGCTCGGCCTCTGGCAACGGTGGCTAGGGCTCGTCTCGCTCCTTGTGCTCCTTGGACCGCTGCCCTGTTCCTGGGTTCTGCTCTCTCTGGTTTTGGGGGATCGGGAGAGAGTGCGCCTTGGGCGCTGCCGGGCCGCGGCCACTGGGTCTCCTGGCTCCGCACACCCGCCGGCGAGCGCCGGGGAGCGGGCGCCGCGACAGGCGGCCCTTGGGGGCGGTCACTTCCGAGGACCGGACCGACCAGCCTGCGGCCCTCGGGGGGCGGTCACTCCCGAGGACCGGACCCGCCAGCCTGCGGCCCCAGGCGTTTCTTCCCGGGTTTAAATCGCCCGGCAGGTACTGAAGGAGAGGAAACCTCAGCTCCCTCCCACCCTTCCTTTTGAGACCGTGTTTTCCGTGTAAGCACACCATCGAATGTTTGGATTTTCATTCATAAACCTGACACCTCGGCTCACGTGACTTGTGCCTTGACTAAGTTCTTTTTCATGATGCCTGGTTCTTTTAGTTCTTAATCAGCTTTCCAGAAAGTACAGCGCCCAAACCTCGGCTGTGTGAACCCCGGTGGGTTTGGTCTCCGCTGGAGGAGTTTATTTTAGGATACTAAATAGTGGTGATAGTGTCCCAACCGTGCACTAGACTTAGGAATCGCAGGCAGTTTAAAAAAGATGAGGAGAGCACATCGCTGAGGGGCTTTGTGGAGCACCTTCCACGTTCTCTAATAAATGAGGAGCTGTGATTTCATCTTCGTGAAGATTGTTCATTCCAGCACTGCGCCTTTGTGCAGCGGGGCCTGGGTTTGGGCGACAGTGTGGATGTGATGCTTTGGATCATAGTTTGTAAGGCTATGGAAGACTCTTGGGAAAGGGCAGGTAAATTCCAGGTAACTCAGTCTTTGATATCTACAGCAACTTTTGAACTACTTTGGGCGATATTGGTGGCATGATTTCATCCTTGGAAACAAGATTCTCTGGATATTTGTTTGCATTGCACCAAATTTATGTGCTAGGTTGCATATTGTAAAAAGTGTCCAGAAAATATACTTACATACCTCGTTATTACATTAGTTTGAATAAAAACATTTTTGTGTTTTCATTAATGATCTTTCAAAGCAACTGCTGCTGAAACATTTAGAATGTGTACCTTCAAGTTCTAAAAAATTTTAGCCGACATTCAATTGTGGTGTCTGACAGCATAGATCACCATCGAAACACATGTTGTGAAAATTTTTAATGATCATATTAACTGTCATCAGCCAAAATTATCTGACGATAGCGTGTGTGTGTGTGTGTGTGTTTCTCAGTTTATTTTTTCATCTCGTTTTGGGACCTACTGGGTGGGCAAAGGTAAAATTCAATCTGCAACTTGAGTGATTTTCTATTAAAATCACAAAGTGAATGAAATGATAGCATATCAAGATATTAGTAGCATATTAAGGGAGATAACTAACAAATGTTAACATTTGTCCTTAAATATAAAGTTTGAAAGGCATTTCTGTCAGAATTAAAAATGAACCTACTAGATTTGTTTTTTATTTATCTAAAGTTTAAAAAATTGAGTTGGGTACAATATTAAAGAGATATCCATAAGTACAAGTAGTATACTCAGACTAAAATTTACTACTTTAATGTGTATAGAGGGTAAGTGAAAGCAATAGCCTTGTCTGAGCTCATAGAACAATTAGAGATGCAAAATCTCTCCCTCCCAAACCAGCATTCTTTTAACTACTCTTAAAAAGTAAAATAGAAAGCCGGGTGCCGGTGGCTCATGCCTATAATCCTAGCTACTCAGGAGGCTGAGATCTGAGAATCGTGGTTCAAAGCCAGCCCGGGCGGGAAAGACCATGAGACTCCTATCTCCAATAAACCACTAGAAAAACCGGATGTGGCGCTGTAGCTCAAGTGGTAGAGCGCTCGCCTTGAGCTGAAGAGCTGAGAGACAGCGCCCAGGCCCAGAGTTCAAGCCCCATGATCGACAAAAAAAAAAATAAAAGTAAAATAGAATACACAGTTTTTTCTAAAACATTTTGCTATGTGTGTAGTTTGCCCTTTTAATGCCTCTTTCCTAAATAAAGATTTAAATAGTTGTGATTATCATGTAAAGGGAATTTACTCTATTGATCTGTATTTAAAGAGAGCAAACTTAATCCCATTTGATCTTTTTAGCAGCCAGAGTAGCATTAAAAGGATCAGTTCTCAGAAGTGGCACTGTAGTCAAGTGGTAGAGCACTAGCCTTGAGCTGAAGAGCTGAGGGACAGTGCTCAGGCCCAGAGTTCAAGGCCCACGACTGACAGAGAAAAAAGGATCAGTTCTCTATTTTATTTCAAAGTATGGGGTGGTCTTTAAGTGAAAGGTGTTTCTTAAGTAATATAAAAGATTAGGCTTCCAGTGGAAATACTTATTGTAAAAATTATTCAACTGTAGAAGCATAAGTTTTAGAATACTATGATTTTTATTTTATTAGTACAGTAAAATAGTTTTAAAGTATTATTTCTTTTAGAATTCTATTGCAGTCCTGTTGACAGAGCAGTATCTTCTATGAAATGATATTCTGAGTTCCATTAGGTGGAAGATGATGGACTCATTAACAAAACAACAGTTTTGATTTTCACTGTCTCATTCCAGCTCTACACTCTCCTAACTCATTTTTAAATCGAACAAGAGAAAAGAGGGACCAAATTAGTTTGCATTACTTAAGATTATGGTTTCTCTTATTTACAATGCACATATATACTTAATATCCTTTACAACTTAAAACGATGATTCTCAACCCTGGCTACATGTTAAATCATGTAGGGAACTTAAAAAAAAATGCTAGTACCAGGATTTCATCCCTAGAAATCTGATTAAATTGGTAAGAGATGGAGAGCCCAGAACATTATTTGTTTATGTTTCACATAATTCAAATTGTCAAGATTGTAAATCCGTGACTTTCAAAGACCATTATTTTCTCTTGCTTTTTTTCTCTAGGTTTATTTCTTTTCTCTATCGTCATAGTTTCCCTGACTTTTTCTTGATCTCATGTGTAAATGTGTTTGTATTTCCAGAAACATTTGTGTACTCAATTCACCTTCTTAGCTGCTTCAACTTATCTGTCTTTCTTTGAAAAGTCCAGTTTGGGTCAGGTGTCCCAACTTCCTATTCCCATAGCATCTTTTACTACTACTATCATAGCATTTCTTTGCTCCATTGTAATTTCCTATTTATTTGTGTATATATCCTCTCCCAGGATGTAAATTCCATGCAGATAGGGACTCCTATCTTCTGTACAGTTGTATTTTTATAACTAGTCATAACTAGTGCATTATAGGGACTTGATAGGATAAATCAATATTCTGGAGATGTAATAAATAATAAGCACGTTTTTTTTTGCCAAGTACATTTAATGTTTTTTAAGTTAAATATCAGGAAACTGAACTTATGGTGTATCTGGAGTAGTGGTGAGGTGAAGGGGAAGGGGGAGAGTAATGGAGAGAATGGAGCCAAAGCATATATATGGAAATGGAAATAAAATTGAGGGGGTGGGTGAAGTTGGGGGAGATGGGGAGAATTATGAAAGATGTGTGACATTGATCAAGATGTATTACTGACATGTTGCATTGGAACCCCTTTGTACAACTACTGAAAGATAATTTAAAGAAAAAAAACCTTTTTAGACACAATAAAAACATATATAAGGACCATTATTAACACCCACTAATCAGAAGGTTTCAGTCCAATCTTTCCAAACTTTTGTTTCCTTTCCTGGAAACATTGTGTCTTTGGGTAGAAGTCATTATCTTTAGGCTTTGTTCTCATCTGGAACATAAAAAGATTCTATTGGATGTTCTACCATTGTACTTAATGATCTAGCCTTAGAATTCTGAGCACTAAAGATATTGGCTTTGGAAATCTGATGTGTCCAAAACCTGGTTCCTGGCAGAATTACTTTAGTTATAACCTATCAGGGGAAGTAATTACTACTGATTAGAGTTGTTGAATTAGATAAGGTACATTCAAAAGAGTTCTTTACCTGGATTTGGTACTTAAAAATATTCATTTCCTCCCCTACCCTCTAGGATTTGTTAGATCTCCTGAGTGGACTTAGTGGAGATAAAAGGACACAGTTTATATAAGTTCTGTTTTCTACTCTATTGACTGCTATGCAGGTGTGAATGGGGACCCAAACCACTGTGACTTTTGGTTTCATTTTCTTAGAACCCCATACCACTGCCAAACACCCTGGTGCTGGTTTATTTACTTAGGAGATAATTATGCCTTGAGAAATCAACCATATAGAATAGCAAGTGCCAAGTTATTAATATAATAAGAGGGAGAAAATTGTCTAAGCTGATGACTTTGCACCCATCCAAAGATAAAGTCAAACTTCATTCAAAAGAAAGGAACAAATTAACAGTAGTTTACAAAATAAGACTCAGAGACTGGTGAAATCTCATTAAACTTAAAAATTTAGGGAATATTAGTTCTGAATAAAAAAGGAAATACAGGAAAAATTAGTCTTCTGTTTAGAAACAATTCCAGAAGATAGGTATACAGTGTTTCCATTGTGAGATTGGTGGTTACATGTATCTGGGGACTAAAGTTGTTGATACTTTTTTGGGAGTCATGTTTTTCAATTTTTCTTTTGACAATACTAGAGTTTGAATTTGGGTTTACTTTCTGGGTGTGTGCTTTCCTGATTAAGCAATGCCTTTAGTCATATTCTTAGTTTTAACTGTCTTTTTTTCATTTTGTGTAGTGATTTTAGGTGTTTTGCTTCTGGTAAAATGGAAAGTAATATTTTTTTGCAATATGGAAAGTGTATCATTACATTATACATAGTGTAATATTACTCTGAAATT